GCCTACTGGAACCATCCTGTCCTGTTTTTGTAAATGTTTTGATATTGTCTTCTGTCTTCGGGGAATTCAGTAGTTATTTTTCTCATTTACTGATTGTAGATTTGTTTGTTTCATCCCTTTTTTTTTAATTTGTCAATGTCTGAGCAGGCAGGCTCTGTGTTCTTTGTTGTTTGCTCATCTGTGGGCACAATACTTTTCACCTCCTTCTCCAGTTGGCAGGGTCATTTACTCAGATACGGTACGGCAGGGCAGGTCTAGCTGAAGAGGAGTTACTGGGACAGGTTGTTTGTGGCACTTACTACAGCCACCAGGGCAGGTCAATAATCACTGCAGGGCAGGTTCCAGTAGGCCGTGCCTGTGCTGCTTGGTGGTGTGATGTCAAGCGCATGGTGCAGGTAGGCAGGATGCAGTGGGGAGATTGTTATGTGTAGAGCTAAGATGGATATGGGAGAGAGGAGAGAGGAACAGGAGCCAAAAACATACAAACAAACAAAAAAGAATTCTAGGGGAGCTTGCCGTTGGAGTGGAGAGATGAGAGACTATGAAATGGAGAAAAACAAAAAGGGGAAGAGGAAGAAGAAAAAGGAAATAAAAGAATGAATAAATAAAAATTGGAAAGGGGAAAGAACAGCAAAGTTCCCAGGGATCGCACCAGTGAGGCTATGAGTTCTGGGGAAGTTGTTAGGTGTTGCAGTACAGCCTGGCTAGAAGGCGTAGAGGTATACAACACCAGGTATTCAGGAAACAGAAAGAGAAGGAAAATATAGAGAGATGAGAAACTGAGTAATGAAGAAAGACAAAAAGGGAAAAGAAAAATTAAAAAAAAAGAACAAGAAAAGCCCTCAAAAAAACAGAAAAAAAAGAAAAAAAACCAGCGAAGAAAGAAATGCTCTCAGGGATCCCTCTGCATGTCTGTGAAAGCCAAGGGGGTAGTTTCCAAGCCATGCAGCACTGCCTGGCAAGAACGGGCTTCCCACTCAAGAAAAGGAAAAGAAAATAAACAAACAATTCAAAACAAACAAATGAACAAAAGCCCTGGGATCCCACCAGCGCGGCAGCCCAGACCAGGAAGCAGCTCCACAATCAAACAGAGCTCTGCAGTCCCTCAGTAGGAAGCAAAGATGGCACACAGAGCCAGGTATTTGAGTGAAAGGAGGGGGAGGTGGTGAGAGGTAAGGAAGAAAGCAAAAGAAGCAGAAGAAAGCAACACCAGTAGCCAACAAATGGCACTCAGAGAACCAGCCCGTGGGTGGGTGGAATCCAAGCGGCCAGTGCTTCCCAGACAAAAGATTGTGGCTGCGGGAAGCAGAGGAGACCGAGTGGGGGTGAAGAAGGGTGGGGGGTTGGAAAGCATATATCAGAAATTAATGGTTGTTTTGTCTCC